CGCCCCCTCCCCCGGGGGGGCCGTGGTCCCGGGAGTTTCAACCCCCCCCCACCCCCTTCCCCTTTTGCTTTGGGAAGGGGGTTTTTACTCGGGGGGGGGGCAACCGCTTGGGTCCCCCCCCCCCCCTTTCCCCCCCGCCACCCACCAACCACAACGGAGCCCCCCCTCCCACCCCCCCTTCCCCGGGCCTAACCCCCCCCCCCCACACACACACACAGCTCCCCCCCCCCTCCCCCCCCCCCCTCCCTCCCTCAGCTCAACCTCGAGTCGTCGCATGCCCTCGCCAGCGTCACCGCCGGCACGCCCCGCCAGGCGCACAGCCGGCCACACTCCACCGCACCTCGGCTGCACCTCGGTTGCACCTCGGTTGCACCTCGGCTGCACCTCGGCCGCACCTCGGCCGCACCTCGGCCGCACCTCGGCCGCACCTCGGCTGCACCTCGGCTGCACCTCGGCCGCACCTCGGCCGCACCTCGGCTGCACCTCGGCCGCACCTCGGCTGCACCTCGGTTGCACCTCGGCTGCACCTCGGCCGCACCTCGGCTGCACCTCGGCCGCACCTCGGCTGCACCTCGGCTGCACCTCGGCTGCACCTCGGCCGCACCTCGGCTGCACCTCGGCCGCACCTCGGCTGCACCTCGGCTGCACCTCGGCTGCACCTCGGCCGCACCTCGGCCGCACCTCGGCCGCACCTCGGCTGCACCTCGGCTGCACCTCGGCTGCATCTCGGCTGCATCTCGGCTGCACCTCGGCTGCACCTCGGCCGCACCTCGGCTGTCTCTCGGCTCGCCCAGGTCCGTTCCGCCGTCGAGTCGGGCGTGCTGCCGAGGCTCCTCGAGCTGCTCCGCGGCGGCGCCGGCATGCAGCAGCAGCACCACCACCAGCAGCAGCACCAGCAGCACCAGCACCAGCAGCACCACCAGCACCACCACCAGCAGCAGCAGCAGCACCACCACCAGCAGCACTGGTGGTGCGCGTCGCACGCGCTTTGGTGCGTCTCGAACTTGGCTGCTGCGGGCTCGGAGTACCGCGATGCCCTCCTCGGAGGCGGCGCCTTGCCGCTCGTGGCGAGGTGCGGCGTGAGTTGCAAAGAGTCGCCGAGAGTCGCGGCGAGAGTCGCAAAGAGAGTCGCTACGAGAGAGGATGAAGTCGTAGTGGTGCAGGTCGAAAGCGATGAGGTCGTACCTGAGTACAGGTCGTACCTGATGAGGTCGTACCTGAGCATTGGTAGGTTGGCGGCGGTGCTGCTCGCCGGGAGCGGCGCGTGCTGCGATGGCGGCGACGGTGAACCCCCCCCCCCCTCTCCCCGTCCGCCTCGAGCCGGTGGCCCGAGATGGCGCGAGATCTGACACGAGATGGCGCGAGATGGCAGGCCCCGTCCCCCCCCTCGTCGATCCGGCGGCGCCCGGCGGCGCGGCAGCGAGGGGCGCCACCGCCGCCGCCCGGCGCGGTCTCGAGCCCGCTTCGGGAGGCGCGTTGAGCGGCGGTCCTTCGGGCGAAGCTCCGGCCGACACCGGCTGGCGGAGCGCGCTGCGGGGTTGCGCCGCTTCGCTGGCGGGTGAGGCACTACCCGCTCTCGCTCTCTTCTCTCGCTCTCTTGTCGCGCTCTCTCTCTCCCTCTCGCTCTCTTTGTCTCCTCTCGCTCTCTTCTCTCTCCCTCCCTCACTCC